ACACACACACACACACACACACACACACACACACACACACACACACACTCTAACAGTCCTTGGTCATATATTCTTCCTTTGTAACATAGGAGGGGAACAAGAATAGCTGTGTGCACATCCCAGTGTGCGACTGTGTAAGAGTGTGTGTGTGTGTGTGTGTGTTCCCATTCGAGCTGAAGGCCGATTCCTCCTCCGCTTTGCTGCCTGTCGCTGTCCTTGTGCTGAAACGTGCAGATTAGCAAACCGACTGCAGGACCGGAACAACATCGACACCACCAACAGCCACGCTGCATCGCTTTCTGCTGCAGATACACACCTTTGTCGGTCTTCTTTTCTCACACGCACACGCTTCGTGCTGATGAGGAGTCACAGAGCTGTGATTTGTCATCAGCCTCCACATGAAGACCTTGATCAGAGGACAGACCCATCACTTGCACTCTGATTATAAAGACCCAGGAGTGTGTGTGTGTGTGTTTTTGGGTATTTAATGGGGTAAAAGGAGGAGAAATTTACTTGAAATCATTCGCAAAACTTCATGAATTTGTCCTTAGTTAGGAGACGCTACATAAAACTTACTGATTACTGATTACTCACGTTAAGCTCGATGAAACTACCTGCAGTTCCTCTGACGTCCACCGGAGGCTCCACCAGCCAGTCCGTGCCCACAGACTCCCATGTTAAACTAAACATGTTTACAGCCTGATACAGAAACTGCTTTTGGTGCCTGTTTACATTTTATTAAAATGTAAAGCTTGCATTATTGGGGGCGTGGCCTCTTTGACTGACAGGTGGATGGTGACACAGGCGGCTGTAGCAGCTAGCTGCCTGCTAACTGTTTGTGCTGTTGGAGCATTTGGGACCATTTTTAATGACATCATCTGAAAATAACTTGGCTGCTGTGAGATTAAGATAAGTTCTGGGATTTTATGTGGATGTTACTGAGCAGTGATTAGCAGGTGTCTGTGTCTGAGCTGGATCCTGCAGGATCTGTATCTGGGTTAGTTTGTGATGTTTGCTTGAGGACTCTGAGAATCTTTCCCAGTATCTATTTATGGACGTATGTCACCAAAGCTCATTGGTAAACATTCCAGGAAGTTGAGCCAAGGTCCAACTTCTTGACCAAACTTGCTAGCCAACAGAGCGACTGAACCAGTCTCATGACTTCCTGTGGAGTGAATTACAAGAAAACTACAGTTTTTTCTTCATGGTTTAGACCTTGATAAATGTTTTGCACGGTGCTGGCTGTGTGGATGTTGGTTATTTGCTGCCCTCTCCAGATGTTTGACTCCAGAGGTTTACTCTAGGGGTGGGGGAAAAATCGATACTGTGTAGTATCGTGATATTTTGTTTGCTAATAATGTATCGATACAGGGACAGCAGAAATTGATATTTTGTTACAAAAAGGTTTTTGTGCTCTGACTTCAGAGCATGTTGATCCTTTTTCTGAGCAAGAATCCTGACATTCAGCAATAAACATGACAGTTTACTTATTTTAATTTAAGACATGTTTTATTTTAATTAAGGTAATTAACTTTTTTATTTAATGTAAAATTATATTTTGTTTTAATTTACTTTCAAATTCTTCAGTTGCTGAATGGGCTGCGTAGTTTTCATAAATTGCATAGTTTAGAAAGCTATAATTGTACCAGATGGTTGCATTCAGTTAAGTTGGACTAGACTGTAATACAAACTGTTCAGTTTGTCAACAATAAAACTGACTGAAATGAGAGAAAGACTGAGTGTGAGACTTTGATATTAGATAAAATGAATATTGATGAAGTTTACCTTTATGTACAGAATCTGAATATCGCAAAATATTTTTAAAAAATTGCAATAATATCGTATCGTGCGTTAAGTATTGTGATAATATCGTATCGTGCGTTAAGTATTGTGATAATATCGTATCGTGGGATGTATGGTGATTACCACCTCTAGTTTACTCTGTCCTGTGACTGCTGCTGAACTCAAATACAGGAGCTAACCTGCTGTAGTTATTGATATTATTGCAAGTAAAGATGAACACAGATGAATTTTTCCAAACCCATTTAACAGAAAGATGCTAAACAGGTAAAAAATAATAAAACATGAAACTTTTGAATGATGATGTGAAGATAATATCAGAATGTTTAAACAGAAATGGAAACTTTGGGTGAGACCTGATTATTACTGATGTTTCTGTGCAGCTTTTTCAAACCTGACGCTGTAGATTTACTCCAAACTGTGCAGCAGCAGATTAACGACCTCGTGCTGTGGTTGGATCATCTCAGACCTTCTCTGGGCTCAAGTCACCTCCATTTTTGGCGTCTTCAGTCCATCACTGAGAACACCCTTTAATTTACAGTTAAACATTTGAACTTTTTCTACATTTTCACTGGATGCTACTTTTCTTAGATGAAAACATTTTTGCACAGTCGTCCGACAGACAGACGAGCGTTTGCCTAAAAAGGTGCTCAGAAACAGGAAGCAAACGGCACGATTGATTCTTTTACCTCTCGAGCTGCTGTTTTATCTGCAGGTTTTACTTTTCTCGCATCCACCCACGTCCGAATTCGCTCCGACTTTGTTTTATTCCCACGTTTTCTGAATGAAATGCCCCGGAGGCTGTAATCAAATACGAACCGGCAGCCTCTGACGCGTTTTTTTTTTCATGAAACAAAGGCAGCGGGGCCGCGCTCGTAAAGTGAAAATATAGTTTGAGTGTCCCATTGTTTCACATTAGGGTTTCCTGTTAATAGCCACTTTCAAAGTTGTTTGTGCGATCCCCTTACAGCCCCCACCCACGCTGCCTCCGCACGCACCATTCAAACTACAAAGAAGAAACGCTGCAAAGAAAATGGAAAGCAGAGGTGTGTGTGTGTGTGTGTGTGTGTGTGTGTGTGTGTGTGTGTGTGTGGATGGGGGGTAGAAAGAGACCCCCTGCTGGTTCAAAGTAAAGTCCGCTTAAGCACCAGCACTCCTTTTACATAACGCAGACACACTCAGTGTACGGGTGTTAGTCCTCAGGGAGCAGCTATTGTTTGGATTCACTCTGCTTTCAGCGTGTGTGTGTGCGTGTGTGTGTGTGTGCGTCTGTGTGTGTGTGTGTGTGTGTGTTACGGCCGTCTGCTGCGCTCCCTATGGGGGCCTTCACTCTATACACCATCGACACCTCATCTGTTCTCGTTCCATACGTTTTCTCAATTAGCTGCAGCGGATGGAGGAGCATTGACAGGCAGAGGGAGGGTTGACATGTTCTCTCACACCTCCGTCTCTTCCGTCTTCTTCCCTTTCTCCATCTCGGGTCATTTTTTTTCCATCGACAGAGCGGGGACCCCCCTCTCTGCCTCCTCTTCCTCGTGCTCAGCAGAGGATGGAGAGCCGAGGAGAGAAATCATGGAGGCAGGCACGGATCATTAGCTATATTTGTCCCCACTTCCTGCAGCAGATGATAGATCTAGCTAATTACCCCATGTTGCCAAGCCTATCGCACACGACAAGCGGCCGTCGTTATGGCGGAAATCAGCGTTGGCTTTGGCGTGCGCCGCATAGCTGACGCTATATGACTATTCATGAGCCCGGAGTCAAAGGAGGAGAGGAAATTTCAGATCCTGTCACGGCTCTGTGTGTGAATGTGATTGTTCTGGGAATGATTTTAATGATGCGTGTTCTCCTTCCTCCCTCTGTGCAGAAAATGAGTTTGGAGGAGACGTGGTGAGCCGCTCCTCCCTCGCCGAACGTCAGAAGGTCACGCTGGAAGCAGAGGTCGGGGCCAACGAGCTGTGTCACGCCCACAACGCTTCAGGTACAGCGCGTCTGCAGGATCATTGCCATTCATGTTGGTTTTCCTCCTGAAATCATGGCAACAATGAGCTTTTATGACTCTTTGTACTGATTCCTGATTTATTTATTTGCTCACACAAAAATGGGTTGGCAAAACCAAACTGCAGGTTCTGGAGCTTCAGCTTCGATCGCTGCCTGGATATAAAAAGCAGATTCAGCGATCCGTCCAATAAAAGCTTCAGCCAAACATTTAGGAACCAGATTTTTTTATTTTAATTTATCAGCTTATCGATCCCCTGCTCTGAATCCTGTCCTGCTTCCTGGGAAAGCACCTGAGACCATGAAGTCATCAGAAAAGTGAGCAGGAAGCTTAATTTTCCATACAGTCAGCCAGAGGAGTCGCCCCCTGCAGGACAGTAGAAAGAACTGCACAGGTACATTTTAGTGCTAGTGTTAGCTTATAGCTGCACCCTGTTGCATAGATGTGGTCACCTCTGGCTCCACCAAAGCAGCGGAAAGATCGCACAAACATGTCGTGGTGGCGTGTCCATCCTTTATGGCTAAGTCTGAACTGTGGTGTAGGGTCAGGTGACTATAGAAGCCCAGATGTTTACAGCTGCTTTTATGTTTAGTAACGATCAAACGCGAGGCTCAAAGATGGAATGTTTTCCAAGCGTCCCGGATGGCGAGGCTGAATAAAATCAGAGTTTTATGAAGGATAAAACACGAGACCCGCTTAGGCGTTAAAGAAATCAGGTTAGTTTCACATCCATACCGTTACAGCGCGCTGTCATCGGCGGACCAGCTCATAAATTGTTTTATTCTATCGCGATCGCAGCATTTCAGCGCCCTGCACAGCTGCTGTCACCCACCAAAACCATTTTCATTCCTAGTTAGGAATCACTCCCCAGATTTCAGCCTCACACACGCACACACACGCACACGCCGAACGCCCACTCAGATGCTATCTCGGCGGCCCTTCACACTAATTCAGATGCACTTAGCGTCGGTTTGGCACACGTGTTTACTGCCACTGGATGATGCACGGCGTAAATACCTATTTGCAGTGAAATTCGATAATGCCAGCACGGTTTTGGTGGCTCCCCCCTGCTGCTACGCTGCACGGAATATCAATGTGTGTGTGTGTATGTGTGTGAGGGTGGGGTTGGGCGCCATATGCCTGAAACGCATTCTCCCAAAACTTCAAGGGTAAAACAAAGGGAAGCAATGACGATGTGAACTGTTGTGACAGATGTCTGAGCCCCACCCCCTCCCCCCTCCCCCATCACCACCTAAATCGTAAACACACACATACAAAATGCTTGTTCTGTGTCTCTGTGCATATTCCAATGCTAACCCCGTTTCTCCTCCCTGAAACCTTTTTTACATTTTTTGATGCATTTTATTTTGGCATTGATCTCGACTCTGATCAGTGCTGCTGCTGTTTCCTATATGTGAGCTGAATTAAGAGTCTCGCTCCCGTTCATGACCTGGCTTCGTGTGTTTGTGCAGCCCAGGCTAATATTCATGGATGCAAATCAGAAAACATGTGAAGAACTTCCGAATAAGGACGCGCTAAAAGGATTGTGCTCGGTTTGGATTCTACCAAACAAACCCACGAGGACGTCATGCGTGAAATGAAGAGTGAATTACTCCGTTAGCTTCATTAACATTAAGGTTGTGCATCAAAACTCTCAGCCTCTCTGAACTGGACTCATTCTGCTGCTTCCAGCCTTGTGGTTTCATCAGTGAGCAGCTTTGCATGATTCTCTCCTCGTAATAATCCTTCTTTAACCGCCTCACCTCATCCTCTGTCTGAAACTGCTTTAGCTCCTCCCCCTTTAAAGCATTTTATTCTGATTGGCACTCTGTGACAAATAAACAGAAGGTAGGTGTGGCTTCTGTGCCTGGGATGACCATGTAAGGGCCAGCTCTGTGACGTCATAAAGATCCCGGAGAATAAAAAACAGTGATAGTCTGAGCTGTGCCTCGCAGCACTGCTGAACACGTGTTTGTCATGTTTGCACGAACACGCGGCGCTCATCAGAGGGTTCATCTAGGCGCCACTGAGTCCTACACCAGTCTGAAACGTGATTGGCTGACTGCAACATTAATGTTCAAGCTGAGATTTTGTGTTTCTGTTTTTTTAACTGGCCAACAAACATTTGTGGCTGTTGTCCAACTTCAGACTAAATTCTGCTGAAACTTTTATAATAATTCCTGTAATTTTAGCAGGAAGGATTACTGTTGAGCCTGTGAAAGCTGATGAAGCCGTTTATTGTTGTCAGTGTAGAAAAATAAAAAACTCTGATCTTTGCTGTTAAACTTTAATGGCCTGTAATAACTTTGTTTTTGAAAAATATCATTTTAGTTTTGATGTTTTGATGCAAACGTCACCAAACACAGTGCATACCATGACTGGGTAACTCTGCAGGTTACTCATATTTTAGATTTAACATATTGTTTTATTATTTTGTAATGGATGAAGCGTACAAACTGTGGGGGGCCGGGGGGAGCACTAACCTTCTTCCAAACAGGACATGCGGTTCCCCGGCGATGCCAGGGACTGATTGCAAGTATCTGAGCAACCTTGGCCAAGGTCACCTGCTGGGATGCAACCTGTCTGCAAACAGTCTCAGTCTGACTGATGGAGGTTTTTCACGGCCTCATTAATAATCACAGACAGGTCGTCAGCAACTATATTCTGGTTTTGTTCTTATATAGAAGCAAAGTTGCTGCGCGTTTCAGGCCTGTGAGCTTCTGGAGTCTGATTGGAAACAGTTGATGTGAGTTTCTGTGGATGTAGACGGCAACAGATTTGTTTCCTCTTCATCCAGTCACACACTGATGACTGAGAGTCTTATTCCTGTTTCATGGATGTGTTAAAGCACCAAACTGCTTCAACGACAACAGGATCAAACGTTTGTTGGTTACTGTCTCCAGCTGCCATCCCCTCGTGTCCTGCTTTGAATCACAGTTCTTACTTTGAAAACGATGAACGATGAGTTTATGAAAAAAAAAAAAGGAAAATTCATTAACTTAAACATTTACCGAAAGTTCAGTGGACAGCTTTCATTTTGACACACATTCAGTTAGTTGGGTTAAATCTGCTTGCTGTGCAGAAATAATCACACATGCAGAGTTTTCTCATTGTTCGAGGTGTTTTCTTAACTAAGCAGTGTGAACTTTTGGAGCAGGGATCAGCGTGACTCAGTGGTCATTCATCTGGGCCTTTAATGCCATTGATCCCAGCTCTAATTGAGACACAGACAGAGAAGGAGTGGGCCTCCAACTAATCCTCAATAAGCAGGCTAACCTTCATTACAGCCGTGACATTTTCCCATGGGGTGCTAAGAGAGAGAAAATGCCAGACGGAATACGCATGACTCGCCAACATATGGCGAGCTGCAGAGGCGTGCGCGCTTCCCAGGTCCAAGTCTCCCGAGGAAGCTCGAGGGAAGTAAACGACGAGGCTTCCCGGATCCGCTCGTGTTCGGCAGCGACTCGGGCCTCGCTTCAAACCCTCAGAGAAAGTCTGACAGCGTCAGATAGGCTCTGTTATTATGCATGTGTGTGCATTTAAACAAGCCGGGCTCACACTGTAGTCCACAGCTCATATCTCCTCTGCATGCATGGAAAGGCCAGCCGTCGCTTACAAATCAGTTCACAGGATGTTGGAGGCAGCTGAGAGATTTGGAGACATTTTTAAAGGTGCTTTATGTTGCAGGGCCTCCCGACTGAACCGCACGTGCTGACGTATGTCGAACTAACATCCTGCTTCATCTCCGCTGATGAAGTGAAGCGAAAACCGTGAAGAATAATCCAAAGTCCAAAGTTTCAAACTAAATCAAATTCTTGTGGCCACGCAGCAATGTTTGTCCCACCCATGATACCGCTGGGGCTCATGTATGTCAGACCTGCACATCCCTCTGAGGCAGGTTTATCCTCTCAACGAGCCGTCATAAATCCCAACACCTCGGAGCGTCCCTGCTTTATTTCCAGATGTCCCTAAATATTCATGCCTGCCTGGCAGGTTTGGGCTGTGACGGAGGCCCTGTTTGGATGTCTCTTTTTATTAAACGTGATTTATTAACACCACACTTACTTTACTGTAGAGCCCCTCAGCTCTAATGGTGTGTTTCTTTACGAACGCCCATAAATGTTTCGACGGGAGAAAAATAAAATGATGAAAAGCGAGGATACCTCGTAAATCTTATTAGTGCAGTAAGGAGGGACCGGCTGAGCGTGTGTTGTTGGTGTGTGTGAGAGCGGGAGATTAAAATGAGACTAAAATGCCCAGTGCTCTCCTGTTTTATCAAAGCTTCTCTGGAACAACGAGCAGCGGCGATGCTATCGCTCCAACATGTGTAATCCACCTCAGACTGGATGAAAAGTCACCTTGTGGGTTTTTATACCTCATGTCGGCTCTTCCAGGACGGATGCTGCAGTATCTGCGCCTTTCATGGAGACGTAAAAGTCTTTGTTCCTTCGTGTGCTGGCTGTGTGCTCGCATGGCTCATGTTAATAGTTAGATGATTCCCAACAATCACTTCAAATCAGCAGGAGGAGCTTCTAATGGTGCGGACAGGAAGTGCTTTTATTGTGCAGCTCAGTGTTTTGATATTGGTTTCAGTGATCCAAGTAAAATATTCTGTCCCGACAGAAGCGCTAATTCGTCAGCTTTCTGAGCCCCTCCTGGATGGATGAACTCCTCACCCATCTTTGAGGGAGAGGCCGGCCAAAATAAAGAAATAAAACCTACAGTTCCTCTAACGCCCACCAGGGGCTCCAGCAATGATGGGAGTCCTCATGTTAAACTGGCCTGATACACAAAGTGCTTCCTCCTTCAGGACAGCTGTGTGACCAGGAAATACTGTTCTTCAGCCCCACAGCAGGGCTCCATGTGAAAGTAAGGTGGAATATTTATCCCAGTAAATGAAGAGCCATCTGTGTTTGATGAGGTCAATAAATCTGTAACATGACTGATTGAACAGTCACATGTTTATTAGGGGTGCAACGATACACAAAATTCACGGTTCGGTTCGGTTCGACACTTTGGTGTCACGGTTCGATATTTTTTCGATACAAAAAAAAAAGTCTGACCACAACAGATGTGGTCACACATCTGTTGTGGTCAGACTTTGGAAATTAATACGGTTCCCAAAGAGTTTCTGAGGAAAAGCGAAGCACAGCATTGGCGTTACACCCGTGGGTTTGGCTGTTTGCTTTCATGAGGTTTTTAGGTCTCTGTTACCAGTGCAGGGCGACAACTCAAATCTTACTGAAGGATTTTAATCATTTACACAAACGCTGCCGTCAGTCGTCTCGTGAAATGTTCTTTCCAATGTTGGGTGTGAATTGAAATGTTTGACAAGCTGCAGAAAAGTCCCGAGCACCTGAGCGAACATGGATCCAAATGAAAGCTAATTTTGCGACGTGTCTGTTGTGTGTTTAACAGCTTGTTTGTGCCTCTCTGCAGATGGAGGTGGATGCAGATGATAAGCGCCATCGCACACGCTCCAAAGGTATCTGCACACACACGCACATGCACACACACACCATTCAGGGTGACCTTCACTCCCCCAACACAAACACACACAGCGCACACACGCTACTGCACAAATCCCAGACTGTCACACTCGAGTTGGCTTTTCTCGCGGCTCTCTGCTCCTCTATCGCTCGTTTTATATCTGACAGAAACAGAAATCCACATTTTAAGAGCTTTGTTCACAATGAAATATCTACCGCAGCGATATCCACTCCTATGAAACCCTGCGAAGTGAAAACAGGTTATTGAACTTTATTTAAACCAAAGAAACGGCAGCTGTCAGCGACTCTCCTTTGGAACATCTCAGTAAAACCGAACCGAGGCTCAGTCCACTCTGTCTGAAACATCTAAGATGCTACATTCATATTTTATCCCCTCCAACTCTGAGTGCCCGACATCTTTGACCAGGCGAGGATGAAAGTGGTGACCGCTGCTCCTCCATCACGAGGATCAAGCAGCTCGTCAGCCGTGTGATTGAAGTTCAGGCGAAACCAAAGATGTGTCACTGAGATCATCGTTCCCTTCATTTAGACAGAATCATTTAAACAGAGAGCATCTGCAGTATAACATGGGACTGACCTTTGACCTTTGTTTGCTAATCCCAGTGATGTTTAAGCCCGTATCCTTCTACAGCTCTCATCTGTGAATCTAGTCTCAGCTGTGTAACGCCCACTCAGGCTGTACGTAGCAGTTAAAGCTGTTAGACAAGCAGCATTTAAAAAAGTTTAGTTTTGGCAATCAGTGACATACAAATCATCTCAAACGGACGTCTAACAGTCCTGCAGGTCATACACACACAGCAACGAGTCTGCTGTTTGGGTCAAGGGTCACGTCTGTGCACCAAAGGACAGGTTCAAGGTTTAAGGTTCAAGGTTTTTTATTTGTTACATGCATAGTTATACAAGTATAACACACAGTGAAATGTGACAGGATCCCAAACGTCAGAATAGAATAGAATAGAATAGAATAGAATAGAATAGCACTTTATTGCCACTGTTCATGTACAAGGAAATTATGGGATCTTGGTGACTTCGAGTTCAGGTTTTTAGACTTGCATTTTTAGGAATAATCCATTTTATTATTATTATTATTATTATTATTGTTATTGTTGTTGTTGTTACTTTCAGAGCTTCCATCATCTACATGCTTTTTGTCCCATGAAATTAAAGTGAAATATTCCAACAAACCAAAGACACATTATATCTAAATTATTCTCATTGTGATGGCTCGGATCTCACAACGTTACTTTTTTCCTTTCAACATATTTATTTGTTAATTTATGATCACTCGTGACACTTGAACACTTTGCACTTTTTAAAATCACAGATGTTAAATATAAATAATCGAACCAATTTTGTTTTCATGAAAGTTTAAAGATTATTTCTTATCGTCACACCAAACGTTTCTGCTCCAGCTGCCTTTGAATACAGCAAAATAAACGTGAATCGTGTGCAAACATGACAGCGTTTTACTTTTTACTAGCACAAAACCCAAATGTGTATATATATCATATCATATAAAAATATTATATCAAAATAAAATACTGCCACAGAGAAATTACAAATGAAATTTCGACTCTTATATTATAAAGTATATTGAATTTTTATAATCATATTTGTCACCATGTTGAGATTTTTCCTGCAATAATTCTTTTAATTTTAAATCATAGATTTGAATGAATTTCTTTTCAGTTTCCAAATGTTGTAATATTTAGATTTAGAGACAGTTTATTAACGTTAAACTGTCGTCTGACAGTAGTTTTTAATGTTTATCTTAAAAGCTTTGTTATTATTAGTTTCAGTTTTTTTAATTTATCAAATATCATATAATATTTATCAGTTTTAGAACAGGTGTTAAATTTCAGTGTGAAGTCCACTGACTCACATTCATGTAGTCGTCCTGGTCTTCATACATATATGAAAGTGACAACTTTGTGACACTGCATCGTTTCCATATTGTTGATCCAAACATTCCGACGAGAGTAATAAGCTGCAGACAGATCACACACATGTCCTCAGACACAAGTACAGATGATGAATATACGCCTGCATTCAGTGACGTTCCCTCCAGCTTCGAGTGTTTCCCTGATGATGTCGCAGGAAACTGATGCAGAGTCACAGTCGTGGCCGTTCAGGCGGATTTCACATGTTTCATAATCTCTCTGTGTTTCTCTTCCAGTGCCTGTGGATCCAGCATTAACAGAGCTTTTCAGGTCAGTGGGAATGAACACACACACACACACAAACCTGCCTGTTTTCCATGATGATCCCATACTCGAGATTCTTCCTGTGTGAGTTCCACACTCGCGTCCCTCCCTTTGGACATCCTCTGATAACAGCAGAACAAAAACATGCACCACTTTCTTTTTCCAACTCCACACATGAAATATTAAATAAGAGGATTTCTTGTCTGTTTTTGTCTAATGTTCTCAATGTTATTTCGATGATGGTCGATTATCAATGTATTAAGCATTCAGCACATTTCCTTCTCTCTTTCTACGCCTACAGCCCTAAAAGTTCTCGCTGGGTGAGTGGAGTGGGTGGAAGGTAGAACTTTATTCTCTTTGTCACTGGAAAAGTTTCCTCTCAGAACAGTTTTAGGAAGTGCCGTCATTTCTAAAACCATCCACTGTGTCAGGAACTACTTCAAGATACTAATTAGCTTAATTTACCTGCTTTAAGTAAGGTAACGTGACTGGAGCCACATTTAAGCTGTTAAAGCTTCGTGCTGGAAAGTGCTGCTAGAAAAAGAAAATGTTGGATAGAATTGTAAAAAACATCTTGTTTGCTTTATATTTACACGATGTATATTACTCACCTGACAGTCTCCAGACTAACATCAGGCATCTTATGAAAGGCTGTGACCCTCCAGGTTTAAACAATTATCACCCTGTTAATCTGAAATAAACTCTTAGCTTATATGTTTGGCTGATATTAATATCTTAGGTGAAACTGACGAAAGTCTGACGTTCGACTGGGTCATGGTACCAACAGCTATGTTGGGAACAAATCACAATATTAATGGACCAGAAGAATAATTGTGTTGTTGTATTTGTCGATCCGAGTCTGGTTTGGTTGTGTCGAGCTGCTGTTAGGCAGACTTGGTGATGCTGCTGGAAGCTTCAGATGTCAGGTTTCCTGAAGAGTTTCAGAGAAGTCCACCATGGTTCAGGTTAATTTGCACTATCATTAATAACATATGTAGCACAGAATATGTTTACAGCTAAAGTGCACCTTTATGCAGATGACACCATACTTTACTCAGCTGGCTGTACAGAGTCAAGCTTCTCATTCAGCCTGACGAGACAGCAGCACAAACCTGTTCCTGTGATTTATGCTAATCACAGTCGGCTCCTTGTTGGGGACTCGGAACTTTCTCTGAACTTTTTCTTATTTTGAACCTTTGCATAACCTTTGAACCTTTCTGGTCACCAATAAGCTCTCTAAAGCTGGAGGCTTTTGTCTGTCAGGGAGAGTTGAGAGCTTTTTATAAAGTATTATGTTATTCATGTTTTATATGATTTAAGGTTGTGCCTTCATGGCCAGATCTTCCTTGAAAAACAGGACTTCCTGGTTTAAATGAGGTTTATGTGCTCATTACAGCAAATTATTTGACTTCCATAAGGTTGTAAGTGACGTTAACTTTAACCTCCTAAGACCTGAACTCTTCCACAGCAGCATTTTTAATTTCTCTTTGATATTTGGGCTGATTGGGGTCCGATGAATGTAAAAACAAAGAATTACCAGATTTTTTTTTTACCTTATTTTTGTTTTTAAGAAAAATCAGAGCCACATATGAGGATATTCGTTTAAAATTCTGATAGAACAGGAGCAGCATAATGTCCTCATCAGTGAATATCAGGTGCTTGTAGAGCAAAATTGAGTATTTTGGTCTAAATAACCCAAAATGTGATGTCCACATATGTGGACACCAGGTCCTAGGAGGTTAAAGGGCAATTTAAAGGTGTGGGCAACCACGTGTATTGCCCCCTTGTGGCTATTAAAAGTAAGGCACATTTAAGGCACTTCTGCATTGCCAAATAAAATCCTTGAATTTCCCTCAAAACGAGCTCAGACTTCCTGGGCAGTCTGTTAGTAACGTTACGATCAAATCGAATAGGGACCTTGTGAGTTGGAATCGAATCAATACCCAGCGCTAAGTAACACCACAGCAGCCACACTGTTGGTGGATAATGTCATTAAAATGCTCCATACATGGTTCAGAGGTCCAGTTCAGGTGAAGCCTAGCTGTTAGTCAGAGAGGCCACAACCCAGTAATGGCCTGACTCAGTTTTCGAGTGGACATTAGAGGAAGTGCAGGTTTTGGTTGTTTATTTTCCTTCCCCTGAGGAGGGCGACTGGTCAGGACAAGCAGTTACCATTAATGAACTCCAGTTAAAGGCTGCGGCTTCACTCCTCGTCCCCCTGAGACTGTCGACCCGCTGTAACATAAGTCAATAAGCTTATGCGCCTCCATTCGGGCCGTGTCACTCTGTGAAATACCTGAACAGCTCCTAACAAAGCTGTGAATACACTGTGCAATCCAGGCTATCTCTTAACCAATACGGACTCTTCTGGTTAGACGGTGGAGGCTAAGACAAGGAGGTGCTGACAGTGCGCACAGAGGCTCGAATATACATGTGGCATGCTTGTTTTTCTCTATTAGCCATGTTGTGTCACCTGGTTGAAAGTGTGGATGCTTCAGTGTCCTCTACTCGTCTTTGCGAGTTGTTTCCACCACAGTAATGTGTGAGTTTCACTTTGTCCTTGGCTGTGTGTTCGGGGGGTAAGATAAGGGTTCCTGCCTACCTATATATCAATAAATAATATTCCACCTGGAAGATTACTGCGTAGCCTTTAGCTGATATTCATAGATAGTCCAAGGTGTACTCTCCCTGCTCTCTCCCCCTCTCTTTCAGTCTTTCTCCCCCTTTTCTATCATTCTCACCTCCTCCTCCTCCATCCCTCACTGTGCTGCTGCCTGCAGATAGTAATTAATCAGGGGATCGATGGGAAGCCTATCTCCAGGCTGAGGCGTCTATAATGTCGATAATGCTGCTCGATGGCCTCTCTCCCCGGAGAGCTGATAGTCTTCAGGGCGAACACGCTTGACATGGGCCGTTCGGCTCTGCGTATGTGTGTTTAAAATCCTATTCAGCATGGACACTATATGATCACAGTTACAAATGCAGTGAGAGACAAATATAGTGCTGCGTAAAGAAATTAATATGAAAAACTAATAATTTCTAAGATGAAAACTGTTGATTTATGTGAAAAAATCCCCAAAACCAACACAAACCTTTTTGACCTGATTTTACTGATAATACTTTAAAGGCTGATTTTACATAATTTTCCATTCTTTCTTTTTAAAATATTCATACTTTAATATTTATCTACACATTAGTTTATATCCCGATCTGCTGTCCTTTGTTATTATATCATTGTTAGAGAATTGTTATAAAAAACAGAAACAAACTTGATTTAAAACCATAAGAATCTATGAATTCAATATATTTTAAGAACCGCTCCAGGTTTAATACGGCTGATCCATAAATAAATGTGTTTGGGTAAATGCTTTTATTGGACCAAGATCGAGTGCATTAAGTGTCTAGGTAATGTTATCAATATCAGGCTTGCATATGGTAAATGGACCTGAGTGACATTCACATGGCCCATGTTTCTAATAATCAGCGGATGTGCAGTAATCCCTGAACAGATTGTCACGTTTTTTTCTACTTTTAGATCGAGGTGATGTCATAGACAGGGGATATTCTTAATATGGTCAGCTTGTGCAAAGAAGCCCCACCCACCTTTGTTTAGGAGGGGCAGCCAATCAGAAGAAAGTTGCTAAAACAGCTTGTTTCGTACAGAGGACGATCTGAGGAGCTGCACCGGTGTGACGTACAAAAGGATTATTTTGGACTGTGAATCATGCAAAGCTGCTGTAATGGAGTGATAATAAAGATGTTAAGGTTAAAAGAGAAGAAAAGATCCACTTTGGTGAATAACTGGCATGATAAATACAGCAGCAGCTGTGCTGTAGGGCACATTTCATCCACTCAGATTAACTTTATTTAAGTCGCTTTCATAGATTATACAGAATGTAAATCATTTGAGGCAGTGGGATCTCAGGTCTCAGCCGCAGTACACCAGTGGGGTCTCTGACTTTTCAGTGGCTTTTCAGTCACCATCAACTGGCACAGTAATCATAGATGTGCAGGATGGCTAATTGAAGTCAGAGTGCAGCAGAAAGGCACGCATATAGAGCATAATTCAGATTCATGTGGGAAGAAGCTGTTTAGAGAGGGTGCTTTCAGCATGCGGACATTGCAGCTGCCTTCGTCTGTGCGCAGCTAAAGCAGCAAAGACACTGAAGGAAAAGGCATCCTTTCACGTTTAAAGCTCCAATTACATGGATGAATTTCTTTTATGAAAGAAAAAAGCAAAGGTGGCTTTAAGAGAGGACCCCGTCTCCATAAAGCTCACTGTGAGATAGACGGGGAGGCGAGTTTGTGCAGACGGGAAAGCTCACAGCATAAACATTCGCTCCACATCTCCTCTGTCATTTGCATATTTACAGTCTGCCATGCTAATCATGTTTATTGGGGTGTATAAGAACTGCGCATGGGCTCGACGGCGGAGGACAGCTTTCTGCCGGAGACTGTGAGATATAAAAATTACCCCCAGCCCCCCCATTTTTGAAATAAATGGTTCCTCCTGCGGTAATCCAATTTCAAAAAGACAAAAAGAGCCATCTTACATAACTAGGACAGCACAGGCTTCTGCTAATTATGGTGTTAAGAATTCCCCTGATTTCAAACAAAGGCCAAGATTCGTGCAGATATTTTTATGTTGTGTTCAGTTCTTCATCCAAAAATGGAACCGAAGCTGCAAAATCCTGAGAAACTCAGTGCAAAAAATATAAATACATCAAGGAAATCAAATCCAGATTTGCTCGATTTCACTTTGAACACAGAGATTTCTGCTGTCAGTCCCTCTGTGCTTTATCTCTGAAGTGTTGAGAACAGTTAAGTAAGGAGGATAACGGCTAAAGCTCCTCATTTTTCCCCTGTCAGACTCCTGCTCCCTCACAAAAGAGATGAGGTGGTCACCGCCTGGCCGAGGAAGAGGGCTTTAGATCGTCAGCGTTAGAGCTGAAACGAGGCCAAACAGGAAGCGATTGACACGGCACAGATCCACTCTCCTCTCTTTG